ATATACTATATCTATATATCTATATACCGGGTGTTCTAGTCGGAGTAGCCAGGACAATGACGCAGGAACAAGGTAAACAAGCCTCAAACGTGTACTCTTAGAGAGAGTTCACTTGACAGGGTGTCCCAAAAATGTCTCGCAATACGGAAATTGGGGAGGGAGGGGAGGGGGGGGGGTAGCCCAGGTCATTCCAAGAAACCTTTTCCTCAGCGAAAATGCGATCCGCGGCTTCGTTTGCGAGTTATCAACGAAAAACACTGGCCTCTCATTGGTCGCTGTATTTTCGTCAATAACTCGTGAATGAAGCTCCGGAGAAAATTTTTCTAAAGGAAAAGGTTACCTGAAATGACCCGAGGAATCACTTTCCAGGGTGATCGCTCGAGACAGAAGAAGCGAAGGCTCCGCGCCGCGTTCGAATCAATGAACAAGTCACGGAGCACGAACTTTCGATTTTTCTCTCGCCACTCGGCAGTGATAATTTTAAGAACAACGCTGTTCACCCTTGTTTCAGAACGTCTGAAGAATGTTCACGAATTTTTCGGAGCCGAAATAACAAGCGTTTTAAACGCGATCTCGTGAACAAAGCTGCGGATTGCCACTTTCGCCAAGGAAAAAGTTTCTCAGAACAATCCCTCGGGAACCCTTCATTTCCGAGACATTTCGGGGACACCCTGTACACCGATTCCGTGACAGTACCGCCGGTGCAACACCGGCACCCGAGTCCCCAACGCGACGTCGAACAGAAGAATCTCTCTCTCGGCGAGAGCAGCGAAGCAGCGACGATGATTAACCGCGCGATGTCCTCGCGATTCGAGGCCGAGCAACGGTCCAATCAACGGAGCCTCGCAACTCGCTCGAAAGACCTAACGCTTCGTGAAACGGGACCGTGAAGATCTTCGGCGCGCGGCGCCGTCCATCGTTCGCAACGAGGAGTTCGCGACGCGAGAACGAAACGGCGTGTTCGTGGTCTTCTCGAGAAAGCCTCTCTCGAACCCGGCGCTTCCTAAATGCTGCTGGAGAACACGTTCTTTCCCGGATGATTCGTCCTAATGTGCTGATAGAGGTTCCCGCGTTGCTTGGTCCTGTGGGCGCAATAGGGGCACTTGAACTGCGGCTCCTTGCCGCACTCGTGCCTGGTGTGTCTGACCAAGGTGGCGCGGTGCTGGTAGCCCTTGCCGCAGGTCTCGCACCGGTACGGGAAATCGACCCGCTTCGCCATCCAAAAGCTGGCCAGGTTCTTGATCAACGGCATCATCGGGTAGTTGCAGTCCCTTTGGTAGCCCTTGTGCATCGGAATGCAAGGGATCGGCGGTAGCTCTGCAACGAACAACAAGCAGAAAAAGGGGCGCGTTAGTAGCCGGCCAATAGGTGAGGAGCGCTTCGTCGTGTGGTGGTGGGGGGATGTTTGTTTGTTTTTGTTTTTTTTGGCAGTGAAGTAACCCAGAGTGATCGTTAATAACCGTTCTCTTTAATCGCGTTCGCTTTAAAAAACATAGAGAGGCCCCGGCGAGATCGGCGACCGCGTCGGCTTCGCTCCGACCGTGGGAAAACTCGCGCGGAAATCCGTCGCGCCGACGTCGGAGCGTTTGTCGGCTCGTTCGTGGACACGGCTGGCCCTAAAGATCGTCGATCGGACGCGTCGGCGAGAGGGCTGCGGAGCGTTTTTCTGGAGCCGCCGAGCGACGTGCCGCAAGCGCGCGCGCGCGCGCCGGCCGAAAAAGGCGAGCAAATATTTTAGTCCGTCAGGGTGACCGCGTAGACTCGCTCCGTTGGGTGCTTGCTCCTGACGTGACTGTAGATCTGCGACGTCTGCTTGTTCCTCTTGTCGCAATAGGGACACTTGTAACGCGGCTCGAGCCCGCACTCGTATTTGTAATGCCGGTCGCGGTTCCATTTCAAGGTGAACCCGTTCAGGCACTTCGCGCAGAAGAACATCTTCTTCCGCTTGCCCGAGGCGTCGTACCTCTCCGCGGGCTCGCCGGACAGGGCCAGGCCCATGTACGAGTCCAACATGCTCAGATCTGAAAGCAAAGATCGTCGCGTGAATCAGCGGTACGCCGGGGGGGACGACGCGGGCGTTTTGTTTCATTGTGAGAGCGTTTGAAGAACGGGACGCGTCGCGCCGTTTGTGTCCAGGCAAACGTTTATTTTGTTTTTGTCAATGTTCACAGAGATACAAATTGGCTACATCGAGAAGACGATGATGATGATCCCGGCTGCGCCGGGGGGACTTTTCGCGCGGAAACACACGCGCGATCGATCGCGCGGACTCGCGCGCCGCGAAGACATCTCGTGGTTCGAATCATTTCCGAGGTTGTCTCTTCAGTTCCGCAGGGTGACCGCGCAGACTCTCTCCGTCGGGTGCTTGCTCCTCACGTGTCTGTAGATCTGCGACGTCTGCTTGTTCCTTTTGTCGCAATACGGACACTTGTACCGCGGCTCGAGCCCGCACTCGTACCTGTAATGCCGGTCCCGGTTCCACTTCAAGGTGAAACCGTGCAAGCACTTCGCGCAGAAGAAGATCTTCTTCCGTTTGCCCGTGGCGTCGTACTTCTCGCGCGGCTCCCCCGACAGGGCCAGGCCCATGTACGCGTCCAACATGCTCAGATCTGAAAGCAAATTGTCGTCGCATGAATCAGTGGCCCACCCCGGGGACTCTCGCGCGCGTTTTTTTATCTGTGAGAGCGTCGAAGAACGGAAACGCGTCGCGACGTCGTGTCCAGGCAAACAGGTTTATTTCATTTTCATAGTTTTTCATTTCATTGGTACATTGTGTTGGTACAGAGCCGTCGATCGGGCGCAGAGGCCGGGGGGGCGCGAGGTACGGTAATTTCTTCGGGAAACGAGGAATCGTAGGTTGCGGCGAATTTTTCCTTTGTTTGATGTACGCTTGTGTGGTTTGTTGCGACGTCGATGTTTGAGGACGCTGATAGATGGAGGCGGTATCGTTTTTTTATTATTATACGAGCCAGGAAGCTTGAATAATAAGTATCCTATCATAAAGAAATGGAATGTAAATGGAATACAAAGCAATTCGAAGACAATGCTATTGAAATACGAAGCAATTCGACGACAATGCGATTGAAATGCAATGGAATTCGAAAACAATGCAATTGAAATGCGATTGAAATACGAGGCAATTCAAAGACAATGCAATTGAAATACAATGGAATTCAAATACAATACAATTGAAATACAATGTAATTAAAATACAGTTCCTCTAATCACAGTCAGTGTTCCAGGTACGTGACCGTCGAATCGTGGCAAGTGGCCTTCGAATTGTCTTCGAATTTTATTCGAATTGTATTTGAATTGTTCTTATAATTCCCTTCGAATTGTATTCGAATTGCCCTCGAATTGTCTTCGAATTGCCTTCGAATTTTATTCGAATTGTTATTATAATTGCCTTCGAATTGTCTTCGAATTGTATTCGAATTGTATTCGAATTGCCTCCGAATTGCCTTCGAATTGCCTCCGAATTGTCTCGGAATTGCCTCTAAATCTCCTCCGAATTGCCTCCGAATCGTCTCCAAATAACCTCTGAATCACTTCAAAAAATTAGAAACAAAAGAATCAACTCATCGTTTTCATTCCGGCATCACTCTATATATCTACATCAACGTGCACCAACGTATTCCCAGATTTGCTCTCAGATCCACCGGTCACCCAACCAAACCTAACCAAACGCTTCCAAAAGAAATTACCGTACATCTCGCCGAGAACATATGCTCTTAATCGCGAACAGCACAGAACAAAAAAAAACAGTCGCAATCGAAGATCGTCAGTCTCTCAGCGTGACCGCGCAGACTCCCTCCCTCGGATGCTTGCTCCTGACGTGTCTGTAGACCTCGGAGGACCGTTTGCTCAGCTTCTCGCAATAAGGACACTTGTATCTCGGCTGGTGGCCGCACTCGTTCTTGTAATGCCGGTCGCGGTTCCATTTCAAAGTGAACCCTTTCAAGCATTTCGTGCAGTAAAAGATCTTCTTCCTCTTGCCGGACGCGTCGAACTTCTCCACCTGCTCGCCGGGCAAGGCCAGGCCCATGTACGAGTCCAACATATTCAAATCTGAAAGCAAACATCGTCTCATGAATCAGTGGCCCCGTCGGTCTCGTCCGATTTTCGTTTGCGAACGAGCAGCAGCTCCTTTCGACGTCGTCGATTTGCCCGAAGCATCTTCGTCCCGGAGAACGGAAAGGTGATGAGAGGAGAGGAGAGGAGGGGGGACGCGAATTTTCCCTCGTTCAATGTTATTTGCAGCTTTACCAGCCGCGAAGCCAACCGCAAGATCCGCGCGCGTGACCAAGCTGCTCTCTATCTCGTCGTATTAAAGTCACAGTTTTCGGAAATACGTCTCCCTCGTCGCTCTGGCTCCTTCGGCGCCAGCAATCGGACAACGTGGGACCGCCGGAGCTTCGATTTCTCGGCGAACGAAAAGTTCTTCGAGCAGAACAAGGACGAAGGAACGTCGGAAAATGTGAACGCCAGGACCGTGAAGTCCAGAAGAGAGGGGGGGAGGGGTCGACGGGCGTGCGAGCAGCCGACAGAAAAATGCCACTAAATTGGGATGTTTTGGGGATGTTTTATTTTGCCATTGAACGAATTCTCGCCGAGTTTCGGCGATCGTGAACGATGTTCCAAGGTCGCGGCGACCTCTTCGACCTTCGACCGGCCGCTTCGCTTTCGATCGTTCGCGAGGGGAGGGCGCACTTTTATTCGGATACAAAGGGTGTGTGACCGTACGAAAATAGCGGCGGGCTATAATAGGGGGGAGGGGCCTGATTTCGCGGCCTGAGTTCCCGTTCGGCCTAATTGCCGACCATGTTGTAGACTTCGAGGACAGCGGCGCGCAGGCTCGGGTGCCGGGCCCTGATGTGTCGGTGGATCTCCTCGGCGCTGTTCGCCGAGGTGTCGCAGTACGGGCACATCTTCTTCGGTACGAAGCCGCAGCTGGTCAGCATGTGCGCGCGTAGCTCGTGTAGATGGTCGAACTTGGTGGCGCATTTCGGGCACAGGTTCGACGTCGCCGAGATGTCGATGCATCTGAGATCGTTGTTGGTCTGCGAGGATCGGCACGGAAGGTCGCGCGGCCGCGGCTCGCCGCCCTGACGCGAACCTGAAATCGAACGGATCGATTAGAGCCCGGCCGTCGGTTTTCCCCGCGGAGACCAACGAACCTGCGGATGTATATGTACGTATGTATATCTATGTATGTCTATATGTACTCTAACAAAGCTGTATGTGTATGTGTGTCACAATGAAACATTTACGGCGCAACGTGTGTCGTTCGCTCGGCCGCGAAGCTGTTTCGCTCGCGCGCGAACACGTCTGTGTACGACGCTCGCGAAAACCGTTTAGGCCGGCGCGTATGAATCGTCGGATTTTCAAGCGAACGATACAATCTTTTTTTGAAAGCTGTTTGTTTAATCGAAGAAAGAGAGAGAGAGAGATGCGGGCGGTTCGGCGGGAAGAACGGCGACGAGACTGTTCGAACAATGGAACGCGCGTCGTTCCTCTCGGCGCAGCGCTTTGCTCTTAGAGCAGAGCCGGTCGAATTGTGTTCTACCACTGTGTGAGACGCCTCGTCCTCTGTCCGTTCTGCTTCTTTTTTGGCTTTTGTTTTTGAACAATGTTCAGAGACGTGTGAAGACGACGAGAAGATAAATATATGTGTCTTTCTGTACCANCCATTGAACGAATTCTCGCCGAGTTTCGGCGATCGTGAACGATGTTCCAAGGTCGCGGCGACCTCTTCGACCTTCGACCGGCCGCTTCGCTTTCGATCGTTCGCGAGGGGAGGGCGCACTTTTATTCGGATACAAAGGGTGTGTGACCGTACGAAAATAGCGGCGGGCTATAATAGGGGGGAGGGGCCTGATTTCGCGGCCTGAGTTCCCGTTCGGCCTAATTGCCGACCATGTTGTAGACTTCGAGGACAGCGGCGCGCAGGCTCGGGTGCCGGGCCCTGATGTGTCGGTGGATCTCCTCGGCGCTGTTCGCCGAGGTGTCGCAGTACGGGCACATCTTCTTCGGTACGAAGCCGCAGCTGGTCAGCATGTGCGCGCGTAGCTCGTGTAGATGGTCGAACTTGGTGGCGCATTTCGGGCACAGGTTCGACGTCGCCGAGATGTCGATGCATCTGAGATCGTTGTTGGTCTGCGAGGATCGGCACGGAAGGTCGCGCGGCCGCGGCTCGCCGCCCTGACGCGAACCTGAAATCGAACGGATCGATTAGAGCCCGGCCGTCGGTTTTCCCCGCGGAGACCAACGAACCTGCGGATGTATATGTACGTATGTATATCTATGTATGTCTATATGTACTCTAACAAAGCTGTATGTGTATGTGTGTCACAATGAAACATTTACGGCGCAACGTGTGTCGTTCGCTCGGCCGCGAAGCTGTTTCGCTCGCGCGCGAACACGTCTGTGTACGACGCTCGCGAAAACCGTTTAGGCCGGCGCGTATGAATCGTCGGATTTTCAAGCGAACGATACAATCTTTTTTTGAAAGCTGTTTGTTTAATCGAAGAAAGAGAGAGAGAGAGATGCGGGCGGTTCGGCGGGAAGAACGGCGACGAGACTGTTCGAACAATGGAACGCGCGTCGTTCCTCTCGGCGCAGCGCTTTGCTCTTAGAGCAGAGCCGGTCGAATTGTGTTCTACCACTGTGTGAGACGCCTCGTCCTCTGTCCGTTCTGCTTCTTTTTTGGCTTTTGTTTTTGAACAATGTTCAGAGACGTGTGAAGACGACGAGAAGATAAATATATGTGTCTTTCTGTACCAGACTTTACTGTACCGCATTCTTCATTCGGCGATTTACGTCCCCGTCGACGGCCGTCGACACCCGCGGGTACACAAATGGTACACAAATGGTAGTATAGGAGTGGTTCAAGCGAAAGCCAACACGCGTGCGCACTGCTTCGAGGACATTTTCCCTTGGAATTTATTCTGTCTAACATCATTTTCTTTGTCCACGTACAATAGAGTTGCGGAGTTAACAGAAACGGGGTTAATAGAAGAAGAAGAAAAGGAGAAGAAAGAGAAAGAAAAGAAGAAGAAGTGAAACCAAGAACGAGAGATTCCAGTGAAAATAACTCTTCGAAATACTCTATTATAAACAGTTCCGTTCTCCGAACGCGTCGCCGGATCGGAGAGAACTCGCGCAGCCCTCGCGATCCGTGCGCGCGATTCTTTTTCTGTTCGTGACACTTTATTGACACTCGGCGAGGCTAAATGACACCATTGTACGATATGCTGGACGCACGGAATTCGGAAATTCCGCGATCTCGTCGTCGACGCGTGCTGTCCAACGCTGAGCGCGCGTCTCGCCGTTGCCGGCGAAAAGGACGGCGGCAATCGCAAGGAACCAGATGATCGAAGACGATTGTAGCGTCGGTTTCGGATCCTTGACACAGCACGGAGAAGTGGGAGAAGTCTCGAGAGAGACTTTAGGTGCGTTGCAAGGAGTTCGGTTTTTTCGGTTCTTCGAAACCGACGGTAAATTCTCCCCAATTGTCCCTCGGCTTCGAAACGAAAATGGACAGTTTGCCAGGAAGAGGCGCGATTGAGCGAGGCTCGATGCTCGTTTTTTTTTTATAGAAATGGATTGTCGACAGCTATAAAAACGAGCCGCGAGGCTCGAACAATCGTATGTTAATATTATCCTCTTAATAATATTATAATAGTCTTCCAAAATTGTCCATTTTTACAAGCTGAAAGAAAATTAGGGACGATGTTGACGATTTCACATTTTTCCTGGTTCCCGTGTGACAGATAATTATTGTGAATTCTCCCTAATTGGAGCTCAGCTTGCATAGAGAAGTGGACAATTTGGGAAGAGAAGATGCGATTATTATTATTATTATTATTATTATATTATTATTAAGAGGTCATGCGATTATATAGTCAAGGTTATTTATAGTCATAGTTAATTATAGTCATAAATATAGGTCTATATATATATATGTATATATAGCTAGATACATATATAGGTACAGATATATTTATTTATAGTCGTAGATATAGGTCTATATCTATGTATGTATATATTGCTAGATACATATATAGGTACAGATACATATCTCTATACATATATGTATAGTATCAATATATTACTATAACTGTAATTATAACTACAACTATAAATATAATTATAATTATAACTATAACTATGACTATAACTATGACTATAACTATGACTATAACTATATCTATATAGATATAGAATATAACCATAACAATTTTTATAGTCACCGATCGTCGACAACAATAAAAACGAGCCACGAGGCTCGAATAAATCGTACCTCCTCTTCCCAAACTGTCGAACAAATTTCTGCTTCCAAGCTGATGGTCAATTAGGAAGGATTTATTGTATTCGCTATAGCGCGTTACTCTAAGTCTTCGCTAATTTACTATTACCTCTGGTTAAATTGCTCTATTTTATCGATAAAGAACGAGCAATCGTTCGAGTCGAGGAGAAGAAGAAGAATGTCAAGGTTATGTCAATGGCTGTCATTAGACGTTTAGGATCTTCGAAAACGAAAATCCAACGCATCCATTGACTGGGTTAAATTAGCTCAATTTTGAATACGTGCAATTTTTTAATTCCAATTCGGTACAATTATTGCAACGTACTGATATCGTCGTTCGACGATTTTTAAAGAGGGAGGAGGTGGAGGAATTCGGCTGAAAATCAAATGCTAGTGATTTTTTTGAACGAAACTTTGAAGAAATACATTTATTTATATATTATATGATATAATATATGATATAATATATAAGTAAATGTACTTTTATCGTATTATTATATATATATTAATTATTATATACATATAATAATTAATAAAACGTGAATGATATATGACGACATATAAACAATATATATAACAAGAAATATAACGATATATATAATAATATAATAAATATAATATATATATTATATAATATAATATAATATTAATTATAATTAATATATATATATTAATTATTATATTTATTATATTATTTATTTATAACTATTATATTATTATATTATAATACAAAAAACAGAAGTTGGAAAATTAATTTCTACACTGTAAAAAGAAATACAAAAGAAATATACTCCTTGAAAACTTTGCACGTAAAATTCCCAGCCGAACGCCCCCCTCCCCCTTCAAAATCCCAGCCCTGATTCGTTACATTTAAACACAGACTCGATCCAAAACGAAATCCTCGACGCCCACAGTCTTCAAAAAAGAAAAAACACAGCCTCTCACAAAACGTTCCTTTTCAACGATAAAAAGAACGAAGCAATCCGTGTGGGTGAAAGTGTATCAGCAAAGCAGCGAACACCCGAAAGGAGAACGCGTTACAGAGCACGCGATGATCGGCTGACGGCGATGATCGCGAGGCCAGAGAATTGGACAGCAGCGGGGAGGGGGGCGGAGCGGAGCGGCTCACGGCGAGAAGGTCCGACCGCGAGGAGAAACGAGAATAGGCGTGTCGCGCAGCTGGACGAAGCTCCGCCCCCTTCTATCAATTCAGATCGATCACGTAGACGTTCTGTCCGCGATGGCACTGCCGGATGTGTCTGTACACGTGGCCGCGTTGCTTCATCCTCGCGGCGCAGTACGGGCACTGGACCTTCGGCTCTTGGCCGCACTCGAACCTCGTGTGCCTCTTCAGGTGCCACGCGTGGATGTAACTCTTCGAGCACCTGGAGCACGTGTGCCGCTCGAGCGCGTTGCTCCTGCGCCGCCTCGAGCTCAGCGGCTTCTCTTCCTCGTAATCGAAGTCCTTCGACTCTTCCATCACCACCGAGCACAAGTTCTCCAGATCGGTCTCGATCTTGATCCTCTTGATGTCTACAAAGAAAAAGAGAAAACGAACAGGCAATTAGTTGGACCGTCGAGGGATACGCGGGGTGGTCTCCACGGGCAGAGAGAAAGAGAGAAAGNCTTGAAAACTTTGCACGTAAAATTCCCAGCCGAACGCCCCCCTCCCCCTTCAAAATCCCAGCCCTGATTCGTTACATTTAAACACAGACTCGATCCAAAACGAAATCCTCGACGCCCACAGTCTTCAAAAAAGAAAAAACACAGCCTCTCACAAAACGTTCCTTTTCAACGATAAAAAGAACGAAGCAATCCGTGTGGGTGAAAGTGTATCAGCAAAGCAGCGAACACCCGAAAGGAGAACGCGTTACAGAGCACGCGATGATCGGCTGACGGCGATGATCGCGAGGCCAGAGAATTGGACAGCAGCGGGGAGGGGGGCGGAGCGGAGCGGCTCACGGCGAGAAGGTCCGACCGCGAGGAGAAACGAGAATAGGCGTGTCGCGCAGCTGGACGAAGCTCCGCCCCCTTCTATCAATTCAGATCGATCACGTAGACGTTCTGTCCGCGATGGCACTGCCGGATGTGTCTGTACACGTGGCCGCGTTGCTTCATCCTCGCGGCGCAGTACGGGCACTGGACCTTCGGCTCTTGGCCGCACTCGAACCTCGTGTGCCTCTTCAGGTGCCACGCGTGGATGTAACTCTTCGAGCACCTGGAGCACGTGTGCCGCTCGAGCGCGTTGCTCCTGCGCCGCCTCGAGCTCAGCGGCTTCTCTTCCTCGTAATCGAAGTCCTTCGACTCTTCCATCACCACCGAGCACAAGTTCTCCAGATCGGTCTCGATCTTGATCCTCTTGATGTCTACAAAGAAAAAGAGAAAACGAACAGGCAATTAGTTGGACCGTCGAGGGATACGCGGGGTGGTCTCCACGGGCAGAGAGAAAGAGAGAAAGAGAGAGAGAGAGAGAGAGGGCGGGAGAGAATCGGGAGGAAACAACGGTCAGCGAGCGTAATCTGGCTGTCCGCGAGGCCAGAAGCTGCCGCGTTTCGCGCGCTGCTAAACCTAGAAACGAAAGCGACGAGAGCAGAGAGGCGAACAACCCTCTTCGGGGCATTCTCGCGCGCGCTAAGCGAATCCGCGCGAGTTCGAGCCGAGCTCCGAGGCACCCGGAAGAGTCTTGCGCCTCGATCCGAGCGAATGCGCGCTCGGCGTCGCCCGTGTCTCTCTCGTAAAAATCAGCAGAATCGGCGGACCGATGCCCGACAGCTTCGAGAAGCGTCCTCGAGCCCTTCGCCCTTCCACGTTCGAGCGCACGAGCATCCTGCGGACAGATTCGCAAGCTTTTACCTGCCTCTCTGGCCAGTCTGCGACCGTAAGGCGCGAATCTATCCCGAAAAAAGTGGTCGAAAGGGACGATTTTCGCTTGAACAGAGGCGACGGACGACCGGCCCCCGGCGCGGGAAACGATAGCCACCGGCGAACGATGAACCCGCTGAAACATTCAAAGGGCCATGTTAAAATCACCAGGGTGATTTTAAGACAGATACATTACCGGACGAAAGATACTCGACGGCGCGCATAGACGAACGCATCAGCCTCACGTGGGAAACGGCGCCGCGGTTTGGGTGTGCTCTATAAACCAGATAGCATCGTAGGAATGCTTTTATTCGATCACATGTACAATTGACGACAGAACCGTGGCAGCGATCTCGCCGGCGCAGCGTCGTCCGAGATATATACAGAACCAATACAGTGGTGACAACGAGCGAGATCAGAGGGGGGGAGGGAGGATGCACATTCGACGAGGGGAGACAGTCTTCGCGCGCGTCGGTTTATATGTGATTTGTGAGTTCAGTTTCATCTGAGAGCAAAACTCTCGACACAGTTGCTCCAGATAGAATATCCGAAAATCATGGTACTTCCGTCAGATGGATTCCCGAGATCATTTCAAGCAACTTTTTCCTTTGCGAAAATGTTCTCCGACGCGCCGTTCACGAGTTATCGACGAAAAACAGTGGCCAATAAGCGGCGAGCGCGGCCGACGAGGGGCGGCCGAGCCCGCGAGCGGTCGACGCCCAGTTCCACTGATTGGCTCCGCCCCGGCGCGCCGCCTCGCGCCGGCCGTGCTCGCCTCTCATTGGCCGGCGTTTCTCGCCGATAACTCGCGAACGGCGCGTCGGAGAAAATTTTCGCAAAGGAAAAAGTTGCTCCGTACGATCTCGGAAACCCCTGGTTTCCTGCTCGCGCGATAATTTCGGGACACCCTCGGTGCATCCTGTCGAGAGTTTCACTTCGAGACGGACGACCGCCTTTGCTCCGGGCTAGCCCGCAGCGACCGGCGCGCGTGCTTTCGATGCGCCGCGACAACGTCCTTTCCGCGGCCGGCTCGGTCGGTCTAGATCCTCGCGGGTCCGGGCCCCGGCCCGGGGCCAGGAGCGGCCGGAGGGGCGGCGCCGGTCGACGACGGACGGCCCGACGTCGTCAGGTCGACCGATCCCGACGACGATCAGGGAGAGTCGATTATGTAGATCCGCTGGCCCGAGTGTTTTCTACGTATGTGCTCGTTCACGTGGGCCCTCTGTTTGCTGCGGTTCCCGCAGTAAGGGCATTTGAACCGCGGCGCGACACCGCACTCGTATCGCAGATGACGCTTCAGGCTTTTCACCACGGTGTAACCGTTCCCGCACTTCGGGCACACGTAGTTGCTCCTTCGGGCTGTACGGTGGCGCAGCGAGCCGTACGCGTCCTCGGACTTCATCGCCTCCCGATACACGTCCGCCCCGTAATTCCCGTACAGTAGGCAATACGACCGATCCACTGAAAGCAAACGAACGAAGTCGGTTAGAATCGTGCAATGGCCGCCGAAACCGCGGAGGAGAGATACAAACGGCGCGCGCTCCTCGCTAAACGGCTACGTGAAGGAGAACAATCTTTCCTTCGCGGCGATCCAACGCAGAGCTGCAAAATATACTAGCATTTTGTATTTTTTTTCTTTTTTTTCTAGTTCGGATCGAATGCTTATTTCGAAGGTCGATCGACGCTTCTTCTGACGCTGACACCTCGAATCGTTCGGAACGCTTTCTCGGGAATGCTCGGCCCGCTTCGCTGCGCCTCGTTGTTATACAGGGTGTTCCGGAACAGTTGTTGGGACCAGGGGCTTCGAGAAGTCTGGAGGGGACACACGGAGGAAATGATTTTATCTTCCAGGCAGTTTCTTTATTTATATATATATTATATATGTTATATTATATTATTATTATTATATTATATTATTATATTTATATATATATTATGTATATTATATATTATATATATTATACGGGGAGTCCCGAAATTACGGTATTTCCGGGAAATAAGGGGTTGCTGAGGTCATTTGGAGCAACTTTTTCCTTTACAGAAATTTTCTCCGAGGCGTCGATTACGAGTTATTAAGGAAAAACGGGGACTAATCGGAGAGCGAGCGCGATCGACGCTCCGCCCACGCGACCGATGCAGGCCGATTGACGCAGCGGCGGTGGTCGCGAGGGCGGGGCGTCTGCCGTACTTGATCTCTCATTGGTCACTGTTTTTCATTGAAAACTCGTGAACGAAGCCTCGTAGAACATTTTCGCTAAGGAAAAAGTTGCTCCAAATGACCTCAGCAACCCCTTATTTCTGTCTCTTATACACATCTAGATGTGTATAAGAGACAGTTGCCGCATGGCCTTGCCTCTTGGCCTGCCTCTTATACACATCTAGATGTGTATAAGAGACAGTTGCCGCATGGCCTTGCCTCTTGGCCTGCCTCTTATACACATCTAGATGTGTATAAGAGACAGTTGCCGCATGGCCTTGCCTCTTGGCCTGCCTCTTATACACATCTAGATGTGTATAAGAGACAGTTGCCGCATGGCCTTGCCTCTTGGCCTGCCTCTTATACACATCTAGATGTGTATAAGAGACAGTTGCCGCATGGCCTTGCCTCTTGGCCTGCCTCTTATACACATCTAGATGTGTATAAGAGACAGTTGCCGCATGGCCTTGCCTCTTGGCCTGCCTCTTATACACATCTAGATGTGTATAAGAGACAGCTCGTGAACGAAGCCTCGTAGAACATTTTCGCTAAGGAAAAAGTTGCTTCAAATGATCTCAGGAACCCCTTATTCCCCGGAAATACCATAATTTTGGGACACTCTGTATATTATATATATATTATATATTATTGTATTTATATATATATCTTTATTTTCTCTTGGTACAGACGCAGCCACGCGCAGCGCTGTGTTCCATTTTATTGCGCGATCCCTTTCGAAGATTACGTCTAAGCCTGTCGCATTTTATATTTATTTCCATCTCAATGTACAATGGGCATCGATGAACCGAGCGAAACGAAGAACCGCGAGTAGGTGTCCCATTGCGGAAGCGATGGCCGAGGATGTTGAAAAAGTCCCAAAATGCTGAACTATTATCTCTGTCTCTTGGGACCGTGTGGGACACCCGCCCGCGTACTTATTCGTTCCTAGAATCTGAAGGCTCGCTTCCATTGACTTGGTTTTGTCGCTTGGCCTTGCCGCTTGGCTTTGCCAGCCTAACGAGCCGAAAACGAAAAGAGTGCAGTTTCATATGAAAAAGTTTAGAACCTTCGCTCGATGGAAGAACAGCGACGTTCGGCTTTCCGTTCGCTGCGTTGGCAAAGCCAAGCGGCAAGGCCAAGCGGCAAAGCCAAGTGGCAAGACCAAGCGGCAAAGCCAAGTGGCAAGGCCATGCGGCAAAGCCAAGTGGCAAGGCCAAGCGGCAAAGCCAAGTGGCAAGGCCAAGCGGCAAAGCCAAGCGGCAAAGCCAAGTGGCAAGGCCATGCGGCAAAGTCGCGCAGCATAAACCCAAGGCACCGAGCGAAAGCAAAAGCCAAACGATCGATGCGTTGGCATGCCGCGTGGCAAGGCCAAGCGGCAGAAGCCAAGCCGCTGGAAACGAGCCTCTCTAAAAACAAATACCTAAAATATTAAACACCTAAACCATTAACAGCCTAACCACCGTGTAAACCGTCGAATCCAATAACACTCGCCTTTACAAAATCGCCGAATACAAAATGCTAGTATACTCGTTTCTCGCAAACGGCCAACTGCGATCGCCGAAGCCTCCGTCGTCCCGTGTCAACGTTCTCCCCTAATCTCGCGCCAAGGACGCCTCGAAGGAGTTCGAAACAAGAGATCCTGAAGAGGAAGGTCGCATCGAAGCGACCTCGAGGACCGTCCAGGAGCGCCGCAACAGCGCCGGGCGGCCGCAGCTGCTCCGCGAAGCCCTGCCTTATTTCCGTGACAGCAAGAACGGATTGGGCGCGTTGTCGTGACAGAAACGAGACGTTTATTGTTTCGGATGGTTGGATACAGTGCGTGGTAGCGACAAAGCGTGTAGAGTACGTGGACCGTGATTCCCGTCGGCGGAAAGGCGCTGTCGACGCTCACGACCGTCGGGACACAAGAAAAACAAGATACGCTCGGGGGCCAGCTCCCGGCTTCCCCAGAGAGAGCGAGAGAGCGAGAGAGAGCCTCAAACTTTCAAGTCGACCACGAACACCCTCTCCTCCGGGTGTTTCTTGCGAATGTGCGAGTAGATCTGCGAGGTCTGCTTGCTCCTCAGCTCGCAGTACGGGCACTTGAATCGCGGCTCGTGCCCGCACTCGTACTTGTAGTGACGGTTCCTGTTGCTCTTCAAGGTGAACCCGTGCAAACACTTCGGACAATAATAGAGCACTTTCGGCGGGGGCGGCAGCGCGTGGCCGCCGATAGGGTCCTTGCCGATCTCGACGCCGGGCGTCACCAGGTTCATCAGCGAGTCCAGCATGTACAGATCTGAAAGCAAACAACGTCTCGTGAACCACCGTCCCATCGATCCTCCCCTGATCATTGTCCTTGAGGAGAGAAAGAGAGATAGAGAGAGAAAGAGTAAGAGAGAGAGAGAGAGAGAGAGAGAGAGAGGCTCACCCGGCAACCTTCGTCCCTTCGTCTTGGCCCTCGTCCCTTCGTCTTGGTTTGCAACACCGCGACGCGGCGCGCGGCGTTGCAAACGCTGCTCGGGCCTGGCGGTGGTTGGAGTGGGGGCAAGGGGGCACAACCCATGAACAGAAAGCACACAGAGAGGCGGGGTGGGGATATGATTAATCGCTCTGGATCGCTTTCGCCGGCGGCGGGGTCGTGGTGAGAGGGGGTGTGGTTACGTTCGGAGAAAATGGACGGCGTCTCTTTGCCGGGCAAAACATGAAGCGTGACAAAAGCAACGGGTTCACCTCGTTTCACCTGGCCCCGCTGGATGGAACTCCGTCGACGACCGCGGGGCCTCACGGCGCCGGTCGTCGCGCATCGTCGACGAATCGACTCTCGGCCGTGAGAGAGGACGCCGTCGCGACGCGCTTCTGGGACCGATCTGCCGCCGCTGGGACGGCTGGCGCCGTCGCGACGCGCTCGGAGGGGCCCGATCTGCCGTCGCGACGCGCTCGGAGGGGCCCGATCTGGCGCCGCGGAACTCGGCGACCTTGGACTCTGTCGGACCTTCGACCGGGAACTGTCGATAACGGTGGAAAAATAAAAGACCCTCGAGGGTGTCGACGGAAATGAGACTAGTCGACGACGACGACGATGGCGACGACGACGACGACGACGACGACGACGACGACGATGATGACGACGATGATGATGATGATGATAGAAGTCTCCCGATCAATCGTAGATACAATGTCTGATATTTGAACATTGATTTATTTGTATCTTACAATTCCACAGCGACGATATACGATCACAAAACATCGTGGAAAGTGTACGGGTTTTGGTGGGGAGTGGGGGGGGGGAGCACAGGGGTGTCGTGTGG